GGAAAAAGTTTTGTTGCTTCTATTTCTATACATGAAATGTGATGCAGTGTCTACACAACATATATTTTCATCTCAAAAGTGATATTAGAGTGAAAACCCATGGAAATTAGTCCAGGTGAAATAAGTGGCTCTTGGAGATCTTTACCGTCCTTAAATTTTTCTAATGACCTAAGACCCGTGAAAATTCCGGGGTAGAATAGGTCTTCAGCAACCCATGCTTGCCGTAAAAGGCGACTGTGCTTGTCGTAAAAGGCGTCTAACGGGATCGGGTGGTCAGGCTCGGTGACTTGGTTGATGCATGTCATCGATTCCAATTGCGTGGATCGATGTTCATGATGTAAATTACTGGACTGTCTGGTCCAGACTCGATTATTTACAGACCGCCGTCATATAGCTGGAATATTGATGAGTGCGGCATAAAACAACAAACCATACCAAAACCAAAAATCAAGTGACCTACATATATGTACTGAGCTTTCAAAAGTGGTTTTCAAAAGGTTTCATAGTAGACACGTGGATATCATTTCCACTTTTGAGGCACCAGTGACAAAATCCAACGCAATTCGCTATTTTGACCATGTGTTCCAGTACTTCTCAGGCGATCAACTGACTTGCCGATGCACTGTTTGTGACAGGTGGTACTGGTGGGGCCGGATATGCCCACCTTCCGCGAACACCTAGTATCTATACTGTTGATTCATGAACACATGCTCAGCATGCTTATGATTATGCAAAATGTATGTCGTTTTGATTAGATACTTTCAGATGCATCGTGAGTGTGAATATTTCTATCAGACTGTCTGTCATATTTTTAAGAAATGCGTATACGAATTCCCGTAACACTTTCGAAATTTTGCATTTTAACAAAAGCATTGGTACATGTATGTCACATTTTGTATGTGGGTGGCTGTAGAAAACAGCTGATCACGGATATAATACGAGGACAGAATTTAATCTGGATTAGGACCATCATAAGCGGATTATTGCTCCACCAATGTCACTAGGTCCCGACAATCCATTGATCTCAAGAGCAGCCAAAGAGATATTATAAACAGTCAGAGAAAAACTTCGAGCTATGAGTAATTACGAATTGTTTTTACTGAATGAAGTGATTTATTACCATGGATCCTAACGAGTGACTTTCAGCATGATTTCGTCAAGGACAGTAAAGGCGAATCCGAGTAGGAAATATTTCGAAACAAATCGGGTTTCCAATTTGCAAGGTCATCCGCTCAGTCAACTTATTGTTGGAAATAACTCACACATACCATCATGCCCCTCTGCGATTATTTGCGACAATGGTGGGGAGTTGTGAAAATATTTCAGTCACTCAAATTGCGTTTTAAAATCTGTGCTCCATGCTGATCAGCTAGTTCATACCAATTGTCGCTCTGTTCTCGTTGCTAGCCTTGAGGCTCATTGCACTGTATGAAATGCTGTTTTGTCCGTAAATATCCGTTAGGTTTTGCCAAGAAATCGAGAATAATGATATATTGATTCTATTCATACGTGGTTCTTACGTTAAATCTATATGAATAGTTCAAGCTGTAGGTAAGGAGAATATTTTTCATCATCCAAATTAAATATTGATCCCTTATGAGCAGAGGAGATTTTGACAAAGAAAACCCAGGTTATTGAACTGTGACTAAACACGGAGTTGAAGATGACAAAAAGATGTCTTTAGGTTGAATCTTTTAGGAGTGAGTGAGTTGCATTTAAAGCCGCTTTTAACAGTATTCCAGTTATATCGCGGCGTGTCAGCTTAATGTGGGAGGAAAGCCCGAGGTGATGCAGGTCTCAGACGTTTACCACTTCGGTGAAACCCACGAGCACAAATATGGTGCTGACCAACCTAGAAACATAATCGGGGCGAACCGGGATTCGAACCCAAAATTATAGGTTTCTGGTGTGCACAGCGAATCGCGGCGCGTTAGACCACTGGGCCACCCGTACCCCAAAATCTTTTAGGAAAGTATCGAGACGCCTTACAGTATTCGTCTCACTGAATGGCGCAATTTAGTTGTGTTGCTATCGTGTCGTATTTAAAGACTGGCCTCGAGGATATGTTAATGGTAATGATGAGTTTAAAAGGAATTCTAAAAAGTGAACAGATTTCCAAAGAAAAAGATTGACAGATATTCGACATTCAGAATCCAGTGGATGTGCAAATATTTTCACATGAAATGATACTTTACATCGTCCTATGATGCGGTGTTATATGGCAGTGCAACTTATTGTTACACAACGTTGCAATATGTGTTGCGATTCATTAGACGTTTTTGCATATTGTTTTGGACAATAATTAGTTGTAAGGAATGTAGTACTTATTAAGATAAGCAGTGGTGTGGAGGGTATAACAGGAAGACTAATCCAACATGGTACAGAACTTTCCAGTAGATATTGAGACTTTATAAGGGGACAAGTGAGGGCCTCTCACATCTCACATTACATCAAGACCATCAGTTGTACTGCCACTCTAACCCCTACGCCAACGTTGACACCTGGTCTAGTCTATTTCGCACATTTAAGAGGAAGTTCACCATTGATGGGTTAACCAAGAAAAAAACCCATGACTGTAATTTCCTCATTAATCTTGAACACGAGTTAAATCATGAACTGAAATCTAAACCAAACTATGTTATTCGTACAAGGTATTAGTCACGACCTACATTTTTCAAACACAACGATCACTGTCTGCGATATGAAACGAGGACGGTGACGCCTCGTAACAATAGCACCATAAAATTTCGTTTCCTTCCGTCCCTCACTTTTGACATTTTGTAAAATTGCCAGCTGCCAAGCTGCTTCCCGTGACTTCATTTGTCACGACGTGTAATTCGTGCCCCACTAATTATGGAGGGTCTTACTTTTCCAAGTGAAAGAAACCGTCGTCTGGCTGGCGGCAATCATGCTATTTTTGAGGACAAGCATTGAAGCTGAGAAGTCGGAGTTTTTCGTAATATTTACATAGGTCCTGTTACATTCCTGAAATGTCAACATCATTACCGTCTCATATTGCAGCGAGGTACATATCTTCAAAGGTATTGTGGGTATATATAGCATGGTTCGTTACTTAACATGTAACATCATTATTGCCCTTTCTGGGAGTTGGCATGTGAAATTGAATTAATTCATGTTATGATACTCGTAATTTGAGCCGGATTACGTTCTATTTATGACTTGTATGAGGTACTGGATAGAGAGCGTCTACTTTGATATTTCTTTTCAATTATTGTTGTGGAGATATTTTTATTATTTATAAATCTAATAAAAAGTGTTGGGCTTGTGAGTCATAGCTTTTACAAATTTGCTAAAAATCTGGGTAGTCTCTGTGACTTGACTAAATGTGTGTCATAATTCTCGGTTGGTTGTTGTTGGTTGGTTGGTTGTTTTACGTCGCACTCAGCAATATTCCAACTATATGGCGGCGGTCTGCAAATAATCGAGTCTGGACCAGACAATCCAGTGATTGATATCATGAACATCGATCCACGCAATTGGGATCGATGACATGCAAAACCAAGTCAGCGAGCCTGACCAACCGATCCCGTTAGTCGCCTTTTACGACAAGCATAGTCACCTTTTACGGCAAGCATGGGTTGCTGAAGACCTATTCTACTCCGGAATCTTCACGGGTCCATAATTCTCGGATGGCGTGGGTCGTTTCTTATTATTTTAATCGGTGAATTGTCAAGAATCAACTTAACTGCTGGGTAAACGAACGTATATACTTGAACACTTGATTTGACCAAAACATGACAAACGTTTTCAACAAATTAATAGGCTGAAAACAGTACGAAACACTGCACACCTAAGGTCTAAAGCACAACTATGATGCATTTATTATTTATTGTTTGTTTCATTTTTAGCAAGACCCAGCGTTAAACAACATTCCTTCACTCAAAAGTCACGCGAAAACCTGCATTAATTATCTAGGCAATTACAACTTCAAGCCCATCAAAAGACCATGACAAATACATCCGAGAGTACGGGTTATGAAGGCAGATCATAAAAGATCATCAAATGCACTCAACCATAGTCTATCAAGGCACATGTAACCAACATCACCAAGGCAAATACATATGCCGAAATCCTGAGTACACATGTGCCCAGATACTGAAAGGCAAATAAAAACAGACCCGGAATACAAAGTCGTTATTTCAAGATCACAAGGCAAATCGACCCAGGTCACCTAGGTACATGTACCATCACCGAGGCACAAGGACCTAGATTCCCAGAGTCAATATACCAACATCATCGAGGCACATGAACCCAGATTTCCGATGTAAATATACCAAGATTACCGATGCAATAAGGGCCAAAATTCCCAAGGCCAATTCGTACACTGATCACCAAAGTAACTTGACCAATACGATCGTGGCAAATAAACCACGATCACCAACTCAAATTCGCACGCTGATCACTGAGGAAAATACACTAATATTGACGAGGCAAATAGACCGATATCACCAAGGCAAATTTTAGAGACAATTCATCTTGATAATTAGGGTACTACTCTTGCCCCGATAATATAACCTGTTTTTGAACACATGAACACATATCTCATTTTAAGATACAAATAGTACATGGTAATATCGTCACGCATTAGGTGGTGAAACGTACAGTTATTAGACTACAATATTGAACATTCTCCTTAGTGTTGTATATGTAAGTTAGTGAGATGCGTTTGACGCCACATTGGACAGTATTCCATTCATATCACAGCGTGTCACTTTAATGATGGATAAAGACCCGAAATTATGCAGACGTTTACAACGATTGTGAAACCCATTATCACAGGTGCGGTGCTAACAAACCTAGAAATAGCATCGGGAAAAGCGGGATTCGAACCCACAATACTAGGTTTCTGGAGTGCCAAAATGCTAGGTGCTAGGCGCGAATTGCGGCGCCCTGGACGACTGGGCTACCCGCTAACCACTATATTAATGCCTAGAGTGTAACGTGTTTCTCACGAATGATACTGAAAATTCGGCACAATATACAGCGAAGACTATCATTTGTATTTCAACCATAAACATTTAAAGCATGTAATTCCTTTTCAAATACCATAACAGGATCTTTGTAAAATGTATCGCGGAACTGACTAGCACCACTGAATCCTTTAAAAGGAACCCAGTATTCGCATATATCGTTTGACCAGCAAATGTTGTGCCACCCTAAGATGTACAGAATGCGACGAAGCTTTGGGTCGGTCTTCATTACAGTCAAGAAATTGTCAGTCCAGAAATTCGTATGGTTGAATATTCCGTCATCAAACATACCGGCCTCTGCTATGGCCGGGATCTTCCCTCGCGATTCGGCTATGTCTACAAGGTTTGCAAGATTGGTCTTCAAGGCTTTCTTTGTTGTGGTGGGGGTAAATTTGTAGTAGTAGTCGACGGCAATGATGTCAATGAAGTCATCCCCTGGGTACAGCAAGTGAAAATTGTCTGTTTTCGAGAAGCAGTCGATGGCGAAGTTGTACAGGAAGTTATGGACCCCCTTTACGTCTCGGAGGTAGGAAACCGTGTATCTGAAGATATCTCGGACATCCTTGGGTGTGTTGTGGCATCTGTTGTCGATGCCCCACCAGAACCAGTCACCGTCCATCTCGTGGAACAGTCGGTAGATGATGGGGATTGACTTCCCATTTGCGTCCTTCAGTGTGTTGGCCCAGGAAGCGATTTTGTCCAGGTTGGCCTTGTATCTTGTATGAGCATCCCCACCTGGTAGCGAGCGTCTGAGTGTGTGGATCACGGTGCCGTTGTCCCAGCTTAGCCTGAAGGATCCCCCCGACACTGGGTTGTTGTTGTGCTGACAGACTGTTACAACCTGCCCTCTGGCGTGGGCTTTCTTCACCAGGTATGTCAAGACTTTCATTTCGTCGGCGTTGAAGTTTTTGAAATCGAAGCCTACGATTGCAGGATACTCTCCAGTTACACTTCTTATGTCTGATAACTCGTCCTCATCACCACGATCTACTTGTGAGGTCTGCAACAGAAATGTGTAATAGCTTAGTCCAGTCAATTATGTTTCGAGACGAAATGTGTTGCTGTTGTTTGATGTACACCTACTAAAATGGAACACGAAAAAATGCCACGACAGTGTAGCTCATCTGAATATTCAGCTCTAAATGGTAACACAGACAGCCACTTGTCAGCATTGTCAGGTTGCTGTCAGCGCTTGTATTCAAAGTAATATTTTGACATAATACCAAGGACTAACGGCTCACATTACAGTTCTAATATAAGGTGAGGAGAAATGGGATTTAACTGTGTTAAAGATTCACTGACAGAAATAGTTTGTAAAGTTTAGTGACTTATGTCGCTCATTGACTATTCCAGCAATATCAGGTGGGATCGAATCAGGTCTTCGTAGTACGAGCGGACGCTTTTTCAAGGCAGGTACCAGGCTTTTTCCAGGATATCCACCCTACTTAAGCTCGGGTGAACGACTTCCATATACTGTCGACTGTCTTCTTCAATTGTGACAAGACAGCTCATTTGGTTGAAACATGGAAGACCCGAGTCTGCTTACACTTGAGACCGCCGTTGTGACATTGTTGACTGCGTCGTGTAACCATATTTAATAACTCGCTCAAATACTATGATATATACATCTTTCAAACCATAAAATATATTTCAGCTAAAATTATAACATGTTACCGTTAGTATTTACCGTAAACTTCCAAAAAGGTTTCCAGGCGTGTGCATACTTTGTCACCTGGTAGTTGGGGTTGCCAGGGGATATGCCGGTCAATGTGTCTTCGTGGTGTCCGAACATGACCTTATCAGGACTGCGGGCCAGCTTCAGCATGCTATTATACAGCGCCATGGTTTCCGGCGTAACATGTTGGTCCACGGGAGATCCGTACAATGAGGTCCACACAACTGTTGAAATGGTCAACATCCTGAATATAAATTGGTAAATTAGTGCTATTTTAATCCGTGTAAGTACGTCTACTGGAAGACGTTCCAGGACTGCTTCTTCTCCATGGGGAAGACGAACAAATATTGTCCCTGCACATACTTTACAGGATATTCAGAGTGTCTAGAAAACAATTCTTTTTAAAACCTTTTTTTCAGTATTTGCTGAAAAAAGTTATAATTTTTAAACGGAGAACTCAATCCTCTGATGTCTAGCCGTTTCAATCCCCGGCACAGTGCACAACATACTTTAACTAATGATTTCACTGATAATACATCGGCTCTTAGGCTCAAACCTTTACATAGTGACCATGACTTAACAACTAAAGATATTACACTTTGGACAATCAAATTTATATGAAACTGTTCCTGTAAGAACTCACCTTGAGATGTGGTTTTCCATTGCGACCTAAAGCTTGTTACCAGCTTAGATCCGTCCTACATTAAAGTTAAATGCAAAGGAAGATAAAGAAACTGATAAAACTTTGTATTTAGGTCGTAACCTGTGTGACATTGTAGGCAGCTCCGTCAGATAAATCTATGAATCACCAACAATTTAGTGTTGGAACAAAATCACTTGTTTACATTTGAACAAAATGTAATAAATAGTAGTTACACAATATACAACCATGGGATTGGTACCTATTGACCAACATATTAAATCAGTTGAAGGGAATGGGCTATTTGGTGGTTATTCAACGATATGAGATCATCGATAAACCTAAAGCTTAAGTCAAACTTTTTGGCTAAATTACCCTGTTTTGACTTTGCCAATCCGAGCAGTAATTCCGATTCATATGCACATGGTTTGCAACCTCAGATGGCATTTGATTTCATTTTTGACAAATTGACCTGAACCTTTGAAGACAGATATATACCTGTATCTAGGGTCGCCAGGTTTTGCATTAAAAGCACCATGGATCAAGGAATGCAGTTTTCTCAATAGTTTATCATGTGGAATGGTGGTGTACAAAGTTGAAAAATTACCTGGTTCTTTTCTGGGACTGTAAAATGTCAAGCACATCCTTTGAGTTTTTGAGAATCCACACGGTATTAATTCCACTTGTCTCAAATACTTTCTGTGAATATAAAGAAAGTCTTTTCTTGATTGTATCAAGAATTATGGTTAATCTTTGAGAAAGCGATTAATTTTATGAGTTGTCTTTTCCTGCCCTCTTTGGAATTAATAGGCAAAATATCGGTGTAAATTAAACATATTGACTACTGTAGATCAGTGATGACACCAGGTGTTTGGCAAGGAGGGTAAGGATGCCCTGCCCTACCCGCAGCACCTGTCACTCATTTAATTTGCATAACAAGTAAGTGTTTTGTTGGCTGTTTACTTGTTGAACGCAATAACCTCAACCCGGCTTCCGCAGGAGATACCGCTTGGTTGAGATCAAGTGATATCTCCAAGGAGATATCGCTACAAAGATATTTAATCACAATGCTTTGACGTTATCTGTTACCGTGAAACACTACCAATCCCTCTGCTGGTCAGCTGTACTATTTACACTGTAAAAACTGGTTACTACCGTTTACAAATTGGGAAAATTATTTTGGATGATAAATAGAATCTAACCATCGTGTCTTCGGATACATCAGATATCTGTTGCTTATATATATCAACACGTCTTGACAAATTTCATCATGGAAGACACACAGGAAGGTTCGCTATTTATCAATATTTTCCATTTGTCCATATTTGTCTCATTATTGACACTAAAGCAAAGACTACCAGACGATCGCACACAAACCAGTACATGTGAAGTCATCTCTTTTATGTACATAAATGATAAGAGCGCCTCCGTGGTCTTGTGGTAGAGCGTCCGCCCGGAGAGCGGAAGGTCCGGGTTCGATCCCCGACCGCGTCATACCAAAAGACGTTAAAAGATGGTACTTGTTGTTACCCTGTCTGACGCTCGGCATTAAGGGGCTAAAACAAGGACTGGTCGGCTCGGAGTCAGTATACTGTGTCTGAGTGGGGTATTCATGTTAAACTGCGGCATGGTATCTCAGTGAGCTAGCACTATAAATCGGCATCAGTCCGGCCTAGTACAAGCAGCCACACAAACACCCACACGTACATGCACGTCCCTATATAAGTGCAATAATCTTGGGCGCGACGTTAAACCCCATTTCACCTCACCTCACATAAATGATAACCGGATATTGGACAGTTCTCGAAAGCTGATGTGCGCGATACCCCAATGACATGTGATCATTGTAACAAAACTCATGCCAAAGCATGTAAAGCTTTGTAGCTCAGGTTGTTCATAACATCAACCACTGGTTTGTCTGTTTCGGTCTCGTAACTGGGCACCGTAATGTAGCTGGAGCATTGCTGAGTGTGATTCATAAACATATATTTATAATATTATCGGAATGAGAGTGGACTTTTAGCAGAGGTTTCTTGTAATTGTGGAAAGTGTTTTGACACCTATTTTTAAGCAAAACACATACAAAAATTAAAAATGTCACACTATCCCTACTTAGACTACGTTTAATCTCGATACAACATCTCTATCAATAGGGCTCATATCAATATGTAGATTTACGGATATTCAGAGCAAAGTAAGAAATAATACCAACTCAAATAAATATTGCTTCACCTCTGCATTGAAATCAAGTAAATAATACATTTCACTGCTAGAATATCCACTGCCAGTCACTGAGAACACCAAGTCCAATCCTCGGAAAGCCGCCATGACAAATCAAATAAGAGACATTAAAATAAAAGCACTTCCTACCATTGCACGTCTGACAGCAGATAATTTGTTGTACGAAGGTTGTAGAGAATCGAATTTAGCACACGTTCAGACACCCTTAAACCATGGTGGGAATGGATTTACCAGGTCTTGGACGATCATTGCCATCTATATTCCTTCTAACGCCAAGCGTACCTTAGTGTTTTACAGCTGAAATTCACCAGTAAGTCCCAGTTTATTGGTCTGGAAATAGAAGTTTGATCTCAGAGCCAACTTACCCCTTTCCCAATAAGTTTCCAAATACATTTACGACAAGGGCAAAGTGTGTTTTAATGATGGTCATTGTTTCTGTCTCGTCGGTGATCGGATTACTTCAGAAAAAGGAAATAATCCTACAGCGACACCGGATATAACAAACAGATCGGTGATGCTCCAAACTGAGAATGAATCCCTATAGGCTCGTGAGCTTACTTTCGTTCCTGTTGGGAAATGTCAGCTAATGTGGTCCCGCGACTTCGACGACACGCCGCTTTGCACCACTATGTGATAGAGTAACATACGATCCTTTCCACCCCACCTGGGGCCATTATTATATCCAATCATTGATGACATTGGTATTTGGAGAGAGCTGTGTTGCGACTCTGTGGAATTGTATATTGAAAATGTTACTGTTTTTGTTGTAATATTGGCTTGCGTTTGAATGTCTGGAGCTTCGGTGGCTGATATACACAAATGCAGACGCCTCACGGAACATTTAATACAGATAATCACATGCTGTTAATCGTTTATTTGCTTTTGCGTGTACGACCGTAACAGACAGACTGGAGTTGAAATAAATTTAACTGATTAGATTTTAACAAGTTAGTAAGCTTGTTTTAACGCCGCTTTGAACAATATTTCAGTTCTACCACGACGGGTCATCTTGATGTGAAAGGAAGGCCCGAAGCAATGCAGGTTTCAGACGTTTACCACTCTAGCACTGGTATGACGCTGATAAACTTAGAAACAAAATCAGGCTGAACCCACGATGCTCATGATATCAATCCCTGGTTTGTCTGTTCCAGATTCGATTATCTACAGATCGCCGTCATATAGATGGAATTTGCTGAGTGCGACGTTTAACAACAAAGAGACGAAATTGAAGAAGTACACGGCTTAGACCAGCAGCAGTTTGGTTCCCACCACCCTCGCATCACGCCCTAAAGTAACTAAAATACTGTTCAATACTCACTAATTCGTAATGAGAAGCAAATGGCACAAAAGACACATGAAATATCCCATTGTTATAGCCATTGTGAGGTATATGTAAGTTTAAGAGACTAACAGTAATCATAGCAATCAAGGGCTTTGGATTTGAAGATTTTGATGACGATCACATAAACATTCTCGCAAACAAGGTAGCAACCCAGTACCAGGGGGATTTTTAGAGGGGACAAAATAACGTGCTGCACAGTGTCAGAAGAGCCATGCCTGAAGGGGATGAAATATGGAGACAATCCGGCCAAAATAAGCCTTTTGGGCAAACAGTCTAAGGGCAGAAGGTGGTGAACTTATGCCCATAATTGTCCGACTTTTCATGAGAGTAATGGTGACTTGTTTTGGTGGGGACTCAACAATCGAGCTAATAATACCCCGAGGATATACAAAATCTGTTCCGTACAGTATAACACACCTCAGAAAACCATAGACGTGCACAACGTTCTGTGTACCTTTAACTCGCATCTCCAACAAAGATCGATTCTAACCCGGATCACTACTTTGGTGAATCCCTTGTTACCGTAGTTAGCTTTCCCTGGGGACAGGTGAGGTGAAATTGGGTTTAACGTCGCGTCCAAGAATATTGCACTTATATAGCGACATGTGTGTGTGTGTGTGTGTGTGTGTGTGTGTGTGTGTGTTTGTTTTGTATGACGTGGCCGGGGATCGAACCCCGGACCTTCCGCTCTCTCCGCTCTCCGGGCGGACGCTCTACCACTAGACCACGGAGGCGGTCTTCCCTGGGGACAACCCGGTCCATGTACAATGTAAAATTGTCTCGTCGCTCTTGTTGCCTTCGGCTGGTCTTGTCGTTGCCCACAAGCATATACAAACTACAACCCTACAACAAAAGCAGAAGCGTTGAACAACTCTTGTAAGAATACAAGGTTCCTGCTGATGACATTATGACATTTACACTTGAAAGGGCACGACCAGGAATATCTCTATGGGATTGACATTTAAAGGTAATACACTGGAAATATAGACAGTACATTTTCAGGAAAACAGCTAAGGAATACGTTTAATACATTAACTACAAAGTATATGTCAATTTCATATTTAATTACGACTTCAAAATGTCAATGCCACAGAATAATCAGTCCATCCAGGCTAGGTAGTAATGGAAATTATTTGAATAGATCCCTGAATTCAGTGATGACAATTCGCGACAATTTTAATCATATCCTGTAACACCCACCACTCACGGTAGACAATAACTTATTTTTAAAACGATACACCATATCCGACGTTATAAGCACCCGGGCGCTTCAATCAGAAAAAGGGGGTTCTTATTAGAATATAATTTTGATGAAAAAAAAAAACAGAGTTGAAAGATCGTAAATTTCGTAGTTTATCCTGTAAGCCTGAAATGATACCAAAGAAACGTATGTGCGTATCATACATGACAGATATATTTTCCAGAATTTAATTGCCAATAATTAAGGGTGCATATAAAACACGAGTGCGTATTATACACGAATAAATAAGTCTTGTATAC